CAACAACAACAACAACAACAACAACAACAACAACAACAACAACAACAACAACAGCAATAAAAGACAGAAGACAAGAAGACCAAAAAGGGTGAAGGGGAGGCAGACAGTGGATATGAAAGCAGACGACAGAACATGATTAAAAGGTGGTGGGAAAGTAGGTGAAAAGAGATTTTTTTTTAAAGAGAAAGAATACAATTTTTCGTTCATGTCATGTATCGAGCCCGGGACCTGTGGAATAAGAAGTGAACACCCTAACCTCTAGACTGCGCAAGAGCCCCCGACGACGAAACACCTTGCTGTTACACTGCAGACGCCCTGCCCTACCAATTTAGGACAAAAATACTACAAAAAAAACCAACAACTGTATCATAAGATAAGCAGTCCTTGTGTTTGGGATAAGTTGTTACACTCATCTCTTATCATTTGCATGTACTATCAGATTACTACTGGGTTACCATCAGGGAACGGATTGTTTCTAGTATAAACAACAGGCATTGTAGCGAAATCAGACGCTCGTCTAAACATTGAAGTGGAAGAAATCGGCATTTTTCTGCCCGTTTGGCAATTTTTCTCAAATTCTGGTTTTTGTCTCAACACCATTAGGCCTATATTCGTTTTAAAACACGTTTTTTTGTGGATTTTTACTGAGAACTGAACATAAATTGCAGGATTTCAGTTTTCAAGGCAATTTTCTCGCTAATTTTACCTCTGAAACTAGTCGACCCTAAATGTCAAGATAGATTATTTTTGTGAAAGTTCGTCACTTTGGCCACCTAACACTTCCCAACCACATAACTTTCGAATTTCAAAAAACAAACAAACAGCGGTTCAGAATCATTTAAAGGCTGCACAGTTTAATTGAGGAGTTTGAAGCCACTGTAGTTTAATTTTCAGGGATTCATTAGTTCGTTTAAGTCCGATTTTGGGAAAGTTCGTCTTCTAACATGCCATTGTAAACAAATGAGGGTTCCGTTCACAAGCCGTGCGCACCGGTTCTTCATCTTTGAAAATTTGGAGTGCATAAATCACAAAAGTGGAATAAGCCTGGAGGATTAATCTTTATAATACCTCCTTGAGTCAAAATGTAGAAGAAATGAGGTCGATTCAAGTCTTTTTTTTTTATAGTAGAGGGTTTTACGGCGGTCGCAACTGCATAAGGCTAGCATTTGCGTTTGTTGTCATTTTTTTGTTTGTCCAAAAGTTGCCAAAAGCTGCCACAAAAAGTGGCAAATGTTGCCAAAAGTTGCCATTAATTTTCAGGCTTTCAACTCTCCGTAATGACGTAAAATAGCAATGTGTTGATAGAGGTAACAATCTATAGTACCAGAATTTCTTGTGCTCTGTTTTAAGCATCCAGAATATCATTTGTAGACGCCAAGAGGGTAAAAAAGTGAAAAATAAAGGTTTCACAAGAGAATGAAATAAAAATTAGAACAGCACGTATAACAAAAATTAACCATTTAGGGAGCGTGTTCACCTATCTGAAGATTGGCTGTTTTAACCCTACACGTGTGTAATTCAAGAAAAAGTAGGCTTGCACGATACCACATGTAAATTATATTATGGAATTACACACAATTGGGGTGTGCCAGTGTCAGTATTCGGTTTTGGTGGAGACATGCTCTAACATAACACATTTATATTTTTAAAAGGGTAGGAACAGCATTAAATTAAATGACATTACTCTGTATAAACGCAAAAAAAGAAAAACAAATCATCAAAACAATTTTTTTGAAAAATTATCTCACCAACAAATTAAAACACAACAAAGAGGGAAAAATAAAAGACTGACAGCAATAGAAATAGTATGTAACGTAATGTATATTCTCCGCATGAAAATAGATACACATGGACATCTTAAAACTTATCAAAACACAATGTACATGTCTAATATGTTATGAAGTAGCTTTGTTGTTTTGTCTTTTTTTGAAAAATTATGCAAAAATCGTGGCCGCCATTGACGGACCAAAAAATGCCAAGAATCGTGGCCGCCATTGGCGGGTCGCTGCCGGGACAAACGCAGATGAAGGTCATATGAGCGCCAGGGGATGGGTGTCAACAGAAAAGTCTTTACAGGGAATCAGGCTTACTCTGCTCACCTCTCTAGCTTGAACAGCACAAAGTCTGCTTCCACCATCAAGGCACCCCGGAAATAGTAGGTCACAAGAGAGTGACAAACATACAAAAGAAGTAGAGGAAACTGACAATAGTAAAGATTAGGAAAGAAAAAGCAGTAGTTCCCTTTGGGAGATCCGGCACAGTTATGAGTGTGACTTGAGTCAGCCCACTTACAATTCTACTGTGCATGAACGAGAAATGTCCCCCCTTTGGGAATGGGGGGGAATCGATTCACTCTGTAGAGAGAATCGTTAGCGATAATCTTTGTCTATTTACTGAGATGTTATATAATTATTCCTCTCAGCCTGGGGTGGCCCTGACGGAACAGGATGATGGAATTAACAGTCCTCTTGAAATATGATATGAATTGCGTCGATTGATG